GTTATTGGTGGTCTTTTATTAGGGGAATGAAAGGGAATGTAATTAAGGGTTTAGGATTTGACATAATTAGCATATGATTACACAGAATCTCTTAAGAATAAGTGAATTCTTTTTTTGGAAGTTTGGGTATAGAGAGAGAGAGATGATGTTAGAGAAGATGAGGCAGTGGAAAAGACCAAAAAGTTTAGTTTACTGGGAAATGCATAAATAACTATTGTTTTTAACTTAAAATTGATTTGAATACTTGATTTTATAATAAAAATTAATAGATTGATCCAAAAAGCTGCAGAGGTTTCCTTTCTGTCGGGACAGCTGCTACGTACGATCGATTCTTTAGCTGTGTCTTATTGTTTTTGCTGAATTTTTCCATAAATTAGTGTGCTTTTTCACTCCAACACATGCTTGAAAAGACCATTTTGACCTTCCTCTTTTTGGTCTCATTCTTCTTCACCCATGTCCTTTCTGGAATTTTCTTTCGCATATTATTTTTAGGTCTGTCTGATGGGGTTTTTTAAGCATAAAGTTTGTCGCTTTGCCAAGATTTTGACTTATTTGTTACCAAGTTTTACATTTTCCAATGCTAATTGACTAAATTAAACAAAATCTTGATTTTTCCTTTTTGCATAATTAGAAGATCCAAGATCATAATCATCAGGAGGAGCCAACGAACAGACGAGTCGAGCGTAATGGTCGTTGTGGAGGAGACGAGTTCAGGCGAAGCTTTACGGGGAGAAACTCCACGTGGCATATGATGCAGTTGCCACCTGGACTCTACCCTTCTTCACATCACCATAACCTCGTTCTAAATTCCACTACTGTTTCTTCAAACATGTCCACTAGCAACAGTAGTGTTTCCTCTGCTAAAGATACGTTCACTGTTTCACCTTCATATCTGAGCACGAGAGCATCGAAGAACCCACAGACTTGTGATGATGGTAAAGATCAAGAACAACGTGAAGAAGATTGTTCTAACGGAGAATCAAATCATCAACAAGAACATACACTTGAGCTGTTTCCATTGAGAAAAGAAGGTTTTTGTAGCAATGTTGAAAGAGACAAAGAGAGTGGTATCCACTGTTTCTATGAGTTTCTTCCATTGAAGAACTAACCCTAATTGAAGTTTTTTTCAAGAGCAACACTTTTTCTTGTGTTACTAGCTAGATAATTAGTTTAATTTAATTAAATTAGAGCGAGAGGAAAACGGGGTTAAATTAATTAGGGTTTTGTTTGGAAGTGAGGGCAGGCGTATCTTTATGGTGTTGATGTTAACATTTCATATGGGTTTGCCTTAAAATGCACTTTGGACCACTTTCTTTAAATGTTAAAAATGAAGCCAAAGAAAACTTAAGAAATGAGTAAAGAGACATGTGAATTGCCCATTAGTTTGTTATTTGTGTGGATGTGGTGAATAATGAATTAGGGTTTGGATGAGGAAACTTGCTTCATTTGGTTGGTGGATGAGGGTATTTGGCGATGAGATAAAGTGTTACGAAAATAGGAACTCGTTATTACTATATAACTTCTTCTTTACACGCATTACTCTCACTCTCTC